GAATCCTCTCCATGATCTTGCTAGGCACAGAGGTGAGACTGATTCACCTGTAGTTGTCCAGGTCTTCCTTTTATCTCTTTTTAAAAATGGGGGTTATGTTTCCCCTTTTACAGTCATCAGGAATTTCACTGGACTCCCATGACTTCTCAAAGATGATGGTTAGAGGCTTAGCCACTTCATCCACCTGTTCCTTCAGGACCCACAATGCATGTTAGCAGCTCGCAGGGGCTTGTGTACCTTCGGGTTCCTTAGAACCTGATCGAGGTTTCTTGAACCTGATGTCTTACATTTGGCAGTTGTCCCTTACCCCAGTCCCCACCTTTGCCTTCTGTGACTTGGGTGGTGTGGCTGGAGCACATGCCAGTAAAAACTGAGGAAAAAAAGTTGTCGAGTACCTCAGCCCTCTCCATGTCCTGGGTAATCAGATCTCCCATTTCCTTCTGAAGAGGGCCCGCATTTTCCCCTGTCTTCTTCTTATCACCAGGGTACCTGTAGAAGCATTTTTTGTTGCCCTTGATGTCCCTGGACATATTTATTTCTATCAGGTCTTTGACCTTCCTAACCTGATCCCTGTCTGCTTGGACAGTTTCTCTATATTCCTCCCAGGCTACTTCTCCTTCCTTCCACCCTCTGTAGGCTTCCTTTTTGTGTTTGAGTTTGTCCAGGAGCTCATTGTTCATCTGTTCAGGCTTCCTGTCATTCTTTCCTGACTTCCTCCTTGCTGGGATACATTGCTCCTGAGCTTGGAGCAGGTGATCCTTGTATATTAAATAAATTTCTTGGGCCCCTCTTGCCTCCAGGGCTTTATTGCATGCGACCAAGCAGATCCTTGAAGCAGCCAAAATCTGCTCTTCTGAATCCCAGGGCAGTGAGCTTGCTGTGCACCCTCCTCGCTGCTTTAAGGATCTTGAACTCCACCATTTCATGGTCATTGCAACCAATGTCTGCCCTTGAGCTTCACACTCCCCACCAGCCCGTCCTTCCTGGTGAGAGAAAAGTCCAGCATAACACTTCTACTTTTTGGCTCCTCTATCACTTGGAGAAGGAAGTTATCAATACATTCCAGGAACCTCCTGGATTTATTATGCCCTTCTGTGTTGTCCTTCCAACAGATATTGGGGTGACTGAAGTCCCCCATGAGGACCAGGGTTTGTGAATGTGAGGTTCCTACTATCTCTCTATAGAGGGCCTCATCTGCTTGGTGTTCCTGGTCGGGTGGCTTGTAGCAGACGCCCACTATAATGCCCCCTGTTGCTGCCCTTCCTTTAATCCTGACTCATAAACTCTTGGGTGGCTTCTCATCCATCCCCAGGCAGAGCTCCATGCATTCCAGCTGGTCACTGTCATGGAGGGTGACACACCCTCTTCATGTCCCCTGTCAGTCCTTCCTGAAGAGCCTGTATCCTTCCATGCCAGCACTCCAGTCATATGAGCCATCTCACCTGTGTCTCTGTGATGACAATAAGATAGTAGCCCTTCAGGTGTGCATATGTCTCCAGCTCCTCTTGTATATTCCCCATGCTACGTGCATTTGCATTGATGCATTTAAGTTGGGCTCCGATGAAGCTGACTTACTGGCTGGAATTCTTTTGTGCTGCTCTTCAGATGCTCTCCTGCTGTCCCATGATCCCTCTCCAGGCTGTGGGCATCTATTCCTGGTGCTGGCGTTGAACTGGTAGGAGTGGGAAGGATTGAGGTTCATCTCCCCTTGCAACTTCAGTTATCATCCCTTTCCTCCAGCAAATCAACTGCACCACTCAGCTGGATTTGATCTGTAAACTTGATGAGGATACACTCAATTTCTGTCTATGTCATTGATGCAGATATTAAATAATGTTTGTCCCTGTGTCCCTTGAGGGACACTACTCATTATTGGTTTCCACTTGGACGTTGAGCCGTTGACTGCAACTCTCTGCATGCAGCTATCCAGTCAATTCCTTATCTGTCTAACAGTGCATCCATCAAAACCATATCTCTCCAATTTAGCAACAAGAATATTGTGGCGGACTGTATCAAAGGCCTTATAAAAGTCCAGGTAGATGACATCTATAGCTCTTCCCTTGTCCACTGATGCAGTCACTCCATTGTGGAAGGCCACTAGATTAGTCAGACAATCTGCCCTTGGTGAGGCCATAGCAGATGTCTCTAATCACTTCCCTGTCTTCCATATGTTTTGGTATATCTTCCAGGAAGATCTGTTCCATAATCTTACCAGGCACAAAGGAGAGGCTGACTCATCTCTATGAATTTTATATTTAAAGCTTTTCTGTTACATTCTTTTTCCTCAAAAATCACTGTGTTTTTCTCTCCCTGTATCTCATTCTCTTTTGCTTTTGATATTTTTTTTAGGGCTTACACCAGTGTCATGTCCCAGTTTCTCAGGACAGCAACCCAGATTCACTGATTCTCAGGTCAGAATTAAGGTGAAACAACACTAGGTACTCTTCAACTCAAAAACCTAGCTTTTATTTGTTCACAACAGATATTGGCATGAAACTTTGTCAGTAAGCCTTACTACCTCTGCAACAAGAGGTAAAACCCCACAACTTACACCGACATACAGCAGATCTTACAACACAAAACAACAAGCCACAAAGTAAATGTGCCCCAGCAAGCCTTAAACATGCCCTGACAAGCCGTGCCCTATATGCAGGGATATAGGGATAAAGAATGGGAGAGAAAAGGAGAAAGAAGGAGACAGAAGAAAGGAGAGACACAGAAAGGAAAGATTTTGCCAGTCCTGGTTCCAACATTGTTCCAGCCAGCCTAGATATCCAGTTCCAGAGGGGCATCACAGCTCAGGGCTTCAATTCATGTCCTTTTATAATCCCTTGCCCCTCTTCTGAGTAGGTACTTGGACTCATTAGGCTAATCAAGTGTCATGTGCAGTCTATAATTCTAGAGTTCTCTTGGCTTTGGTGCATGCGTGGTTTGTATCTTCAGAGTCTTCTGGAAACGGGTCGGTGGGCTTGGGGGTCACTGGGGAGCTGCTCGCTGCTCCCTGCAGGTATGACCGGTGTCTGATCTTTCTTCTTTGTGTATTTGTTGTGGAAACGGCTTCTCTGTTGGCTCTTTATAGAGTAAATCAAGACAGGGAAGTCCAGCCTCAGAAGAGTTTGGTCCCACACCCGTGAGACCCTCTCTTCTTACCACATCTTCCCATCAGAGACCTGCTGTTTCCATAGGGACTGTTTCCTTTACCAAAGTTTTCTATCAGATGTTTGAGTCATTAACTGTGATTTCATCAGACCCTCACACACCAGTCTTAGATCTTAAATTCTTTAAGGAAGGGAGTATCTATACAGCATGACACTTTTTCACAGAATTCTATCATTAACAAGTATCAGTTCTGAGTAAATTATCTCACTCTGATTTAACTGATCATTGTGACATAATACAGCTTTATTTAAATTTAAGTCACATTTATTCATGTCTTTTTAGAAAGGTGGACAGTCAAAGCTCTTTAAACTATTGGATTCCCATAGATCACCTTTGGTGTTTCTTCTGACTCAGGCTTCTGCAGTGCAACAGTCCATGAATCTGGTGGTGATATAAGATTACTAGGCATTTATTTTCTAATTTCGAAATATGATGATCACTTATATTTTCCTTATCTTTGGGTCAACAAGTTTGTTCTGCTTTTCTGAATACCTGCTGTCTATGTCTGTGTGTGTGTGTGTTTCATTCTTACATTTAAAGGTATACTCATAGTTTTTTGTCTAACTGGAATTGCAGGCATTTTGTAAATACTAAATTCCTTAAATAAAATGAATATTTGAACCTATCTGCATATTTTGTGGAAGAAAATGCTTAATAGCTAAAAACCTGTGTATAGCTGATTGAAACCTAGAGACAATAAAAGGATTTATTCTATCAGTATTGACTAGAGAGTACCTATGAGAAGAAAGAAATAAAAGAGAGCAACTTGGATCAGAGTTGTTTTTTTTTTTTTTTTTTTTTTTCTAAAAAAGAGATTTAAGGGGTATTTCCTTATCCATGACATTGGGTTAGAGTCATGTGTACAATTAGAAAATGGTAAATGGTGGCCCAAATATATTCTAATACTGTAAAATGACAGACAAGGTAAGGTTTTTAAAGTGGAAATTTTTATTTGAATTGTAGAACAGGAAGTATCAAAATTTATGTTCCAAAAATGTAGTGAATAAAAAAATCTTATTTAACTATATTACTTGAAAGAAATAAAAATATAGAAATCCTATCTGAAAACACTATCAGTTCAAATAGTGTGTCACAGTTTGTCATTCTTCCAAATGTTATGTATTGAGCAAATCCATTTTCACTTACTTGCACCAAAACAAAAAAGAGGAAAACTGATTACATGATCCATACTCATGTCTAATAAAATTGCAATATGCACTTTTTGACAGGCTTATATTTAATGCATACTGATGGAAAATTCTAGTTCTCTGTTCTCAGCAGGAAAAGTAGGCTTTTTAAGAAAACCTTTTTATTTTGTGACTGTCACACAACATAACAATTATAAATGAAATGGAGGTGACAAAAATGAAAAGCCAGCTTGCTGATTTTTATGAAGTGTTTGTATTTCCAGAAAGGCAGTCACTGCTCAGTTATTTGATTTGAAAAATTAATCCTGATAATGCCTTTTGAGTTCCTTAAGTACTGTTCACTCTTTTCTAGGATGAGTTTTACAGAACAAAGCCTAACAGATTTCTACAGCAGATTAGTTTACAGATGGAGCTCAATTCCACTGAGAATGATTCTCTAATGACCCCTTTATACTTCCATTGGGCTGTGTGAATGCTTTAATATGTAGAGAACAGAGTTAAATAAATCTATTGTCTCAACTAACAGGTTTATGCAATCCTTCTGAAATATTTTAATTATAGCTGCTTCTTTTTCTCTATAATTAAGAAACCAGATGTCAAGTAATCCCATCATGTGTTGATCATAGCCTATCCATTAGTTTAAAGAAATCCACTTATAATTAGAGTTTTTTCTCTTTCTCCTTTGTTTTACAGAGCAAGAAGAATGTGTTAACTGCACAGATGAATGCAGAGTGCTTGGTCATTCTGACAGGTGTTGGATGCCACAGTTCCCTGCAGCCAGTCAGGCTGAGAATGCAGATTATCGCACAAATCTCTTTGTACCCACAGTTGAAGCTAATGTTGAGACTGAGACATATGAAACTGTGAATCCCACTGGGAAAAAGACTTTTTGTACATTTGGGAAAGACAAGAGAGAGCACACTATTCTCATTGCCAATGTTAAACCTTACTTAAAAGCCAAACGTGCCCTGAGTCCTCTGCTTCAGGAGGTTCCCTCAGCATCGAGCAGCCCAACCAAGACATGCATTGAGCCTTGCACCTCAACAAAAGGACCACTGGATGGTTGTGAAGTGAAATCAGGAGCCTTGGCTGAACCAAGCAGCCAGTACTTGTCAACTGACAGTCAGTATCTATCGCCTAGTAAACAGTCAAAAGACGCTCCCTTCATTGCATCAGATCAGATGGCTAGGGCCTTTGCAGATGTGCATTCCCGAGTGAGCCGAGACTCGAGTGAGATGGACTCTGTTCTGGAGCAGTTAGACCGTTCAGCCCGGGATCTAGGCAGGGAGTCGGTGGATGCAGAGGAAGTTGTGAGAGAAATAGACAAACTCTTGCAAGACTGTCGGGGAAGTGACCCTGTGGCCGTAAGAAAGTGAGGGGGAAAATAAGGACAGGCTGGCAGTTATGTTCCTCTTCTGCTGATTAAAAGTAAATAAATAAATCAATCCCCTGGTTGTAACAGATTTACAGGAATGAAGGAAGACCAATGCTGCTTAAAGGCTTTTAGTGAACATCTGAAGTGCCCACAAGTATGTTCTTTTCACTGCTCTTTCTTTTTGACAGATAACACTGGTTTCATTTTGACCAAACTTTCATTAGGACAGAGTCAAGTACACTAGGAACAAAATGAAAGAAGGAAAGATGGTGCCATTTTGACAATCTGATAGGAAGGTGTGAGAAAGGTGGAATGGAAATACATCTGATACTTTAAGACTGTCCTCAATAGCTGATGCTGACTTTACTGTTTACGTATAAACCCCAAGAAAAACAGGGTTGAATATTTCTGATCTGTGGTGGATTTCCAGCAATCACCATAGGCTTCTACTGAAAGTCCTAAAAAGAGTTCTTGTAGTAGTCCAAGTGACACCAAACATTAACATTCATTTGTGGTAAACATTTATGTACAAAGTTATCTGCCACAAATATGAAAAAAAAAAAAAAAAGAACAAGAAAACAAAAAAAACCCATTCCAGACCATTATTCAAGAAAACATATCCTGATCATTAGTAAAACACTTCATATCATATTAAGGTTAAATGTAAAATGATATAGTCCATCTTGTCCTGCACACACATAAGCTAATTCACTTGATAAACAAGAAAAAAAAAAAACATTTTAATATCTATTTAGCATTTTAGTGTCCAACAAAACTATAAATAGTTAGTGGTAAGTTTTAAAAAAACTAAGGTAAAATAAAGTTTGAATAAAATAGTTACCTTTAAGGGTAATACACAAAAGAAATTAACATTATTAACACTTTTTTATTCATTTGTGGACACTAAAATAGCTCAGGAAAGTGAAAATGTCTTAGACATCCACAAAAATCACATGATCATTTAAATGTGCAAATGTAAGAAGATTCAGTGTGTTTACATCAAATGACATATTTTTATTGATTTATTGCAGATTCAGTGCATATGAGCCAAATTGTTGAGTGTATAAGAGCTATATTGTGTATTTTATTAAATTAATATATAGTTGTGTTGCAAAAATATTTGGGCTTATATTGTAAATGGCAAGTGTTGCCTCGGTAGCTGTCGAACTCTATGAGTTTTGTTTTTTCCTGCTTCCTTTTCCCCATGGATTGTGGGAAGCAGCGCCTCAGAGCAAAGTCTCTTGTTTAATGTATGGTCTACGAAGTACTGCAGTACATAATCTGTTCAAAATGTGTTTGAGTGAGCTGATGGAGCTAACTGAACGGCCTACAAATACATCCATCAGTCATGGTTATGTGCAAGTCCTTGTAGAAGCTTCTATTGCAAACCCATGTTTAATAACAAAAATTACACTTGAACCAACAACTGGAACCTCCTTGTTTTTTTTTTTTTTTTTTTTTGTTTGGTTGGTTGGTTGTTTTTTTTTGGTTTTTTTTTTTTTTGTTTGTTTTTTTTTTTCTTTTCCAAACACATGCAGCCAGCTTGTTTAATGTAGGATATTTGATTGACTTCTTAAGAGATGCCACCATCTTCAAGGTTTTGCTATTAAGTTAATAGACTGGAAAAACATCAGTGCCAATGTGGCACGGACAGTATTTTATCTGATTCTTTAGAATGTGTAATTGTTTATTACAGTTCTAAATACACACTGCTTTTTTTGGGGGGTGGTTTTGGTTTGGTTTTCATTTGTTCTGAAAAGAATTTGCAGAATAACTTGGAATATAGTTTCTACTTTTTATTATTTTTTCTAAGGGTGTTTTTATTGCATTTGAATTATTAAAAATTGCCTTCAGATGAAAGTTAAAATCAACCCGAATTCAAAATGAACTTGCACAGAACAAGAAGAAGTGGAAGAATAAAATGTATAGCTCAGGATTTGTCCCATATATACTTCAGTCACTCTGTGGGAAAGACCACTAGGGAGCATTGTTTAAAATGTTGTATTGGGTTTATTAAATTTAATCTGCACTATACAAACATATGTAAAAGAGGTTGGCAATCTCAAATCCCAAAAAGCCATAGTTTTCAACAGTTCAAGAAAGAAAGTTGACCTAACATCCTGTTTTGATGTTGAGGTTACATTTAAATGGTGATTTTAGCTAGTCAGTCCTACAATGAATTGTCTTTGGGAGACAACCATTCTGACAGTTTGCTTTCAGCTCCTTCTGTTTAAAAAGTCTACAATTACATGTAAAAAAGGATCTTGTACATGTTTATCAAGCTACTCTCCATGTTTTGGACAATTTATGTATCTAAAATGTGATGTTGTCTGTGTTATATGATTTTATTTTTTTTTGGCCAGGAGACCCGAGATTGGTTTTGCTTGATAGCTTGATAGCTTGAAATTCCATAGTGGAGAGGATTTCTTATTGTTTGATCAGTCTCTTATATGTATTTCTGTGGTGCCCATCACCAAAGTGTCTGCGCACCAAGTCTTTAGCTCTGCCAGTGAGATCCATTATTCAGCAAAATCTAAGCCAGTATGTAAATGCAGTCAAGTGATGGAGATTTGTGTATTTTATAAATGATTTTAACACTGAGTAACCAATTGTACAATTCATTGTATGTTTCTGAAGACATGAAACCACAACATTCTGAGAAAGGGCTGTGCCAATGTAAGAGGAATTTACCTTAAGGCTCTCTGTCACTAGTGATTTACTAGCTTTAGCTGTTTAACACATTATCTGTATTTAGTAGTGATTATTTATTTACCACTCTGAGGTAATTCAGAATTCATGACTCACAGCTTTATAGAAGAACTTAGGAAATCTTGCTTTTATTTAATTTGGCTGACAACTTGTGTTGTAGATCTCCGGCATACTGCTTCCAATAAGGATATCCCAGGTTAAAAATCTGTTTCACAATTTAGAATGGATACCTAATGAACCAATAAACCAGCAGAGCTTATACAAAGTGAGTTTTGTTGGTTCAGTCAAAATTAACATGACTGTGTGTGAAGGAATTATTACACTCAAATGAATTTTAAAAGTATTTTTTTCTCCATGGTATCTCTACTATCACCACTGGAGAAAGAGGAAACAATGAAAGATAAAGTTTATGAGTTATTATTTCTCTCATTCCTTATATATGTGTTTTATAACACTGAAAGAAAGTATCTGCCACGATAATTATAAAGAAATGATGGAGTCAAGGTAGGCAAGTTAACTAATAAAATTGTACTGTGCACTGTGAATAACAAATAAGGCATTCTATATATTTTTTTTTTTTTTTTTTTATGAAAGCCAGTAACTGGGAGTTCTTTAAACAATTGGCCAATCAAATCAAGACTCAAAATCAGATCTTTTTGTCTGTCTTTTTTTCTTGGTATATTTCTCAAGAGATTCTCCTGAACTGTGACTTGCTACTTGAGACTATAGGTTTCCCAGTCCAAGTTACGCCTAGAAGTCAAACATTGCTCATAGTGGAGCAAGATACATCATTCAAACAAACTTTCAAGACACTTTCTGTCCAATGGAAGGGAAATTGCTGAGGTCAAGGAGGAGTCTAAAGCCTAGCATAATATACGCCCACTCATTATTGTTTTATCACTTTCTTTTGCCATCAGGCAGTGATTATTATTGCATTAATTCAAATGGGAGTTTTGACTATCAAGATTTGTTGATTTGAAGTGTAATTGAATGAAACCTGATTAAGGTTTTGACTTCTCTGGCTCAATTGTGATACAGGTTGGCATACACATTTATCAGCCCCTGTCTCCCCATATGGCTCTAAGTTGCACCAATGACTGGTGAATGACACAAAAACCGAACAAAAGCAGCATACATTGTATGGATTATCTCAACCGCTATTGTTTAATGGCTGTGTTTAATGTGACCTATCTGGAAAATGAGGACTACGAATAAAAAGCAATTACTAATAGTGGTGTTGCCTGCTTTTGCATTCATTAACACAGAAGAAATGTGTTAAACACTGCATACCACAGGGAGCCTGATGGTAATTACTTTGGAAAAGCAACTTGGGGCAATGTGGCTGTTACAGCTAGTTATCAGTTTGCCAAAAAAATGACAGTTCCTGCTTCATTTATTAGAAATGTGTAACCGTTTTCTCTCAACAGGAAGGTGTTGAGGAGTTTTCATCAAGCTGCGTAGGTTTATCTTTTAAGAAGCTGATGTGCTGAATCCCTACAGGCTGTTATTTTCTCATGGAAACATGGAGCTGGATTAAAGGATAGTTTGGTTTAGTACACAGGTGTGAGTTCACCAAAAGCATTATAAATGAGGATATAAGTTCTCAGAGACAGTCAGCCCAACATGAAAGATCAAAACACTACTTGAGTATAAAAGTGGAGAAAGAAATCTGAAGCATGTAAATGGCTTGGTGTTTTTTTATTTTTGTTTTTAGTTTTTTTATATCTTTCTTAAGAGCCTAAGTAATAGAAGTAAATAATTTTATTCATGTTGCTGTAAATAACATGACAAAATGCTGGGAAAAATATGACCAAGTTCTATGTCTGGTTGTTTGAGTTTGTTGCTATAATTTATCACCTTGGTTAATCTTTTTTTTTGTTTGTTTTTTGTTCTGTTTGAACATCATGATCAATTCCTCAGAATATGTGGCCATTTCTGTCTGCTCCTGTGTGACTGTAGGAATGACATACCAAATAGTGTAAAGCCTCCACACCGGATTTTTCATGGGTTTGGGGGGGGTTAGACTGGAGGTTGTTGTTTTGTGGGGGGGTTTTGTTTGTTTGCTTGTTTGTCTTAATAACTAATCAAATAGGCTTTCTTTTTGACAGCCAAATAGAATTTTAGTTTGTTGAGAATACTGCAGGTATTAAGAAGATATGTGCTAGTCCTGCAGGCAGAATTACCTTTTACCCATTGCATGCTTTCTGCAAGTGCCTTTGCCAGAAACAAAACCAGCCTACATCTAGTTATATGGCTATCTTAGGCACAGAAGACCCCCATTGTTTTCTTCCCTTCTTCCTGGTACATATATTTGTCTTTCTACAGGCTGACTTCCAAACTCTAGCAAGCCACTGTCTGTGCAGTCCTGCCAGAATGTACCTTATGCTGCTGAAGGCCTCACTGGCCATGGGATGTTGTTCTTACCGTCTTCAACTGCTTGTAATTCAGAGCTTGGCTGGATCCACAGTATATGTAGAACAAGTCATAAACCATGCTGGATTTTCTTTACCCAGAATATATAGACATTGATTTCTCATTTGGAAAGTGTCCAGTCTGTCAAACAGATTCTTAGATCTCCTTTAAGCCAACCACAGATAACTGCTTCAGGGTGTTCACTCATGGGATAAATACCCTATCCTTATCCTTTATTGAGTCTAAGACATGAAAGCAGCTGAAAGCTTATTTCTTCAGCTGGTAATGTTTCCCTAAAAATGAAATTTCTCCAGTAGAAAGAAGGGATGGCTCTCTGATGTATGTGTAGCTTGATTTGTAAAAGGTCACCTTAGTATCAGTAGTGCATGCAGAAATGGATCAGGGAATTAATGAGCCATCTAAGAATTTTCTGAGATGTATATTCCATAATGCATATGTTATGATTCAGGGAAGAGAGCACACTATCTTGCCTTATTTATTGCTGATGGTTCCCGATAATGCCTGGCTCACAGAAACATTTAGTACAAGTTTTGGGGAAATATTTTTCTCCGATTAAGAGAACAATCTGTTTTTAATATATTTTTAAAAGTTTTTATTTTTTCCTAAACTTATGCTGATCAAACTGTGTGCCTTTTGTTAGTTTTCAAAATGAAAATAGTATTCTGACATGGCTGGCTCCTTTAGGGTCTTTGTGCTAGAGATAATATTTTTTATTTGGACAAGACTCCAAAATATCCATAAACATTCTGTGATTTATTTTGGTAAGAAGCAAGATTATAGACATGTCTTGAAACATAGATTATTGGACAACAAATTTAGATCTTGACCTACTGAGAAATGGAATAAGTAAAATTCCGTTTCTGAAAACATTGTATTTAGTATCTTGAACATTGATTCTGTGGAAATATTACTAAAGTACATGTATTGAACACCTGCCAGAGAACTATGGGATCAGTCAGTTGCCCTCAACTTTTTCCAACATTGAAGTTGTATCTGCAAATCAGTTGATTGTTAGTGCAGTACAGGAAACATATTTATACGTTTGCAAGAAGAAATACTCCTTAATGAATTTGCAATTACATTTTGTAATAGATGTAAATTTTCCATCATTTTAGGGAAAATTACATACAGAACTTTTTTCAGTGGTTTGATTTGAGAGTGATAAAAAATGGATCATTGTGCTGGCATCAGCATTAAAATGGAAACACTCTATCTTTCTGACCATCAGAAAATGACATCTGTTTCTGTTGTTACTGTATTTATGAAAATGTTCCATACATCTGTTTTTGTGGGTTTTTTTTTAACCCTTCTACAGCAGGTAGCTTCTATGATGCTACGTGCTATAAAGAATTCTTCAAGTGCCCCTTTTATTAGTCACCATTCCCTCCTTTTCAGATATCCATTTGAAATGCTTTACATTGCCAATCTATTTCATATAGAGAAATTAAAACAGATTCCTCATCTGTCTTCAAAGATGTTTCACGCTTCATACCATATAATTAAAAAAATACTAATCATAATATTTGTAGATAAGGCCTCCATTTATTTATTAAAATTCTTTGGTTTAAAATTTGATCATATTAAAGTTGCTAAAATATATTAAAACAATTTTTTTATTTTCCAATTAAAACACTATCTTTTTATGAACCAATTCTTTCGCTATTGGGAGTTCAGTAGGAAATCCTGTTAAGAGGATTATCACACTTAGTAAACTAATCAGTTCTAAATCAGGATGTTTCCTTCATAACTAAACATACAGCTATTTCATCTTTAGTGACAATTATTTATTTTTAGATTTTTTTACTTAAATTATGAGAAAATATCATCTGATGTATATATTCTGAATAACTAATACATTTAATATCTTCTAACTATAATATGGTTCATAACAGTGTATTTCATTATAAGTACATATTTAGAGACTGGTTTAGACCAGATAAGAAACTGTATTTACTCTGAATATACTTTGAGTTTCTATGCTTAAAGTCGTATTGTCTATAGGAATGGTTTTCTATTCACTTGTGTCCTGTTCTAAATTGAGAACAAAATGAATATAAGCCACTGCTATATCATTTAATAAGGACTGGTATATCACCAGGTGAATATAGTAAATACAGCAGAAAAGAATACATGTGAAACTATGTAATAACACCATGGTACCACTGTGTTATAAGAGATTTAGAATAGAGATTAGCAACTGTTAATAAGCCTTTATCTTTGTCCACAATATAAACTTCTTAAAAACATTGAGGTTTTGCCTCCCTTCAAAGTCTAGAGTAGTGGAAAGCTCCAGAGTAAGGGTGTTGTCCAGACTCTGGACTTCTTTTGTGCTGTCTTCTTCTGGAAAAGACTCCAGAGGTCGGTAATTATGTTTCCACAATAACTTTTGCACCTCCATGCACCAGTGTAAGTGAACCAAGCTCCTGTGTATATATCAGGTCACTGCCACTCAGCACTCTAATGCTACCTTGGCAGAGTCTTTTTAGTTGACTTGCTTAGGGATGCAATATGGATAGAGAGTGGATTTGTTTAGCTGACAACCTTTTTGTACATGTCAAAGTAAGGCATAGCAATCCTTTTAAAAGGAAAAGAACACTTACCTTTTGAAAAAGTAACAGTCTTTGAAAAATAGTCTCTAGAACCGCCCCTCCCCCTAAAAAACAACAGAAAACCCAGGAAAAATAGCAAATATATCCTTGTCCATGGACACTTTTTCCTCTACAACTCAATTGAATAAAGCTGTTGATGACTATAAACCCACCACCATTCTTTTCTAAATGCACCTGTTCCAGTGGACTAAAATAGGAGAGAGGAATGGAAAATCTAGAAATCCAGATAAAGCCAGTATAATGCTAGTAAGTACATTCAGTGCTTTAATTTCCAAAAAATCACCTTTTTAAAAAGATTCATTCTCCAGCACTTACTAATAATCTTCCCTGGACAGATAAATCCCAAAACCACTGCAACTGCAAAAGTTATTGTGGCTGGAGTCAGGAGTCAGAAATCAAGATAGAGGAGGAGAAGGAATATAATGCTTTGGTCAGAATTTCATTACATCTATCCCTTTAGCAGAGGTGAAATATCAGGGACCCATCATATTACTCCAACAATAGGAGAAGCAGGAACAATTGGAGGACATCTGAATCAAGCACTCTTGTTCAAAAAGCTTTCACGGAGATTTGCCAAGCTTACTCTGGGATCAAGAATCTAAACCTGAGACAACTCTGCCGATAACCAGTAACTCCTGTAGTCTAAGGTACTGTTCACATCACCTGCCTGGAATAAATTCAAGCTTCTATGGGCAATGACAACACTCAGCTGCAAGGAGCCACCAGGTACTGCTGCCAAATTTGAATCCCATACCTCCTTGTAAGTGGATGCCAGCTCTCCTCATTCACTTTATTTCCTTCATCCTGAATGTTTGTAAGGCATACTAGCAAATGCTATTCCACATTCCCAAACCTTGAAGGGTGGTCTGGAGAAAAAACAATCCTTGTTCAATGCATGTGTTGGTTAGCACAGAATGCATTTTTGCAGCTAGAAGAAATTCAGTTAGAACTGTATTTGAAGAACCACTTGTTTGCAGAGTTTGGGAATTTCTTTAATTATTATTTTTGTTTCATTTTATAAATAATCCAGAAAATCATCAATATCAATGAAGCTATAAGCATGGTCATTTTCAACAGCAGCATAAATATTAATCACAATCACCAGTCCAGACTGTAAATTTTATTTGGCATAGCATGCACAACTATGCAACAATTATGTAAAAATGGAAGTTATTATGAGCTGTAATTA